AAAAAAGTAGGTTTATTACGAAACCTAAAAGGGTATAGAGAAGTGCAACCATTTCGAAACCGTTTTAGGTTTCGTATGAACCCCTTTTGGGTTTCGTGCTTCGACTCCGAAATCTTTTATGGTTCTGAGCGAACATAAAGGTTCCATAGTCGAAGTACGAAACCTAAAAGGGGTTCATACGAAACCTAAAACGATTCGAAATGGTTGCACTTCTCTATACCCTTGTAGGTTTCGTAATAAACCTATTTTTTTTAGAAAGCAGCGGTGTCTGGTCTTGTCTTTATTATACTAATAGTGCATACATGACCATGAACTATAATGTTTTGCGTAGACTACGTAACACCACCATTTTCTATTGATTGCGGTTGAGCACTGATAGAATCATTACCACTACTAACATCAGAATCCGATGAATCGTCTTCTTTCGAAATACACTCATCAGTAGATGTATCATCGGACTCGCTTGCAACAAAATCACTATAAGAATCCGATTCGTCATCATCAGAAACATTGTTGTCAATATCGTTTGTAAATCATTTGACAATGGGAAAATGCGAGCAAGTTAAAAACCTAAAAGCTTACGAAACATTTGACAACGGGAAAATGTGAGCAACACAAAAGGCTAAACATCTAGACCCTTGTGAAACAAAAATTATACAAAATCAAATCAATTATTTATTTATTGAGAAGAAAAGAAATGTATATATATATATATCAATTCAGATAAAATTAATTGTAAATGAAAAATGTCAGATATTATTTTTATTAGATTTCATGTGTACATTGTTTCTGATATAAGATTTATTCTGTCAGAATACAAGCGGAAAATATTCCATTATTGTATTCTAAACTAAAACTATCGAAAAACAATATCGTTTTTGTTTCGTTTATAATTTGAAAATAAATAAATATTATATATTTTTTCTAATATAAAGTCTATTGATGATGGAATAGTTCAATCGATCGAGTTACTATCAGTTAACCGTAAAACTATATAAAAAGAATGTTTGAATACTTTATTTTCAATTGTCTACAAATATTTATATCACTACAAAAGAGAAGTAAATTTATTAGGCATAATAGACTTGTTGATGAATATCAATCACTTCATAGGGCCAAATAATTTCTGTTTTAGGCAAATCATTAATACATTGAATTTTATATGCGTCTAATATAACGGGACTTGTGCTTGCCAATGAATCGCCAATCGATAGTAATTTACCAGCAACCATTATATAATGACCTGAAAATTAAGTAGTTACATAATGGTAAAGAATTTTCATATAAAAATGTCAAATTAATATACCTTCTTCAATTAATGTCCATACATTTGGCATTCTTGTACAATTGTGTACTTTTGCTAAACCCGTACTATCTTCTATGAGCAATGTATCATCATTTTTATTAATCTTAAAATAAATATTTGAATTATTTGTATACAATACATGTTTATCTATTTTCTCTTACATTGACACATAGACCTTGTATCCAAACATAATCAAATGAATAATTTTTTCCAAAACGCGCAATTGTCCAGGAATATTGATCATTATCGATTGTTTTCTTGGCTTTTTTCAACTCACCTATAAATGATTTTCGAGTATAGAAAAAAATCACTTGATTTCTCATTATTTGATTCACGTAAAAAATTTAGCCACTACTATAATCGGATTTTATACACATCATTTCAACCGTTCATATATTTTATTCAACAGTAGTTCAAGTTCATAAGGAGACATAAAAAAATTAAAATCATGGATAAAAAAAGACAAACAGTTGGAATGAATAGAAGTGAAAAACTAAGTAAGTAGAAGTGTCAAATCTATTTGAAAAAAACAAACAATTGTCCACTGATCATATTTTTACGCGTCAACAATACAGTAGAGACAACAGAAAATGAATTAAACTATGAGAAAACAATTTAAACTCAGTCACAACAGAAAATAAATGAAAGAAACACCTCAATTTTTCCCGTATCATAAAACATTAACAAAAAAAAACCAAGTTTAATAAAAAAGAAGAAGAATACAGAAAGAATGAATTTTAAAAAAGTGAACAAATGGACGGTAAATAAAAGCTTTCAACTTATTTTACAAAAGATCATAGAAATAGTCTAATCCTTGACCAATTTCCCATATCGCAATGCCCACATTTAATTTTGTTGCCAATTGTAATCTATCATAGATTGATTTTAAACTTGGATAAAAAATAATTGTATCGGGTAATGGTGGTTGTTCATTTGGTGCTAATTTTTTCTGTTGTTGTTTTAATTGTATAGCTGTTATGTGTTCATGTGATCGTGTATCATAGGCAATCATTATTGAATTTAAATTTTGTTTTAAAAATTCGATATAATCACGACCCATAATTGGTTGATATTTGTATTGTTCTTGTTGTTGTTGTTGTTGTTTAGGTTTTAATGAAGTTGGTAGAACACGATCATATTTGTAACCATAAAAATTTAAACCTAAAAATAATTTTGGTATTATATGAGATTCAATATCTGGTAATAAAAATTTTTCCATGGTCATTTGAACCCATTCTAAATAAATAGAATTAAAAATAAATTCAATGAACGGTAATTTAATGATACTTTTTACCTAATGGTGCCACTGGACCAGGTCCTTTTTGATTTGGAAAATCGTATGTCATTATACTAAATCCATCTATATGATTCATTAGTTGTTCAAAATCATTTTTATCAAAAACTTCATCATATGGTGGTACAGCTAGAAAACACTGTTTATTTAATGCATGTAATTTTTCACTAATATCAATAAGAATATGATTTAATGTTGATTTTGATGAACCATGAAATTGTGACAATAATTCAAGTACATAACCATCTAATTGATGTTGTTGAGCATATTCAGCCAATGTTTCAGCTAATTTTTGTTTTTCATGTTCTGATTGAAATAGAGCGTGTATATGTTCAATAGGCCATTTTTCAAAGAGAATACGTGGAACAATTTGAATTGCAGGTTTCAATTTTCGTAATGTCAACATCCATTTTTCATCAATATCATGAGTACCACTTATTTCGTACGATTCAACACCTGAATACAAAAATAAAAGAGAAAATACTAATCAGTTGTTTTTCTAGTTGAATTAGACACACATCTTACCGTTTCGTTTCATTGATAACCAAACAGGACTAATATAATCAAATTTTGAGATAAATAATTTAGCTGCATCATATCCGTATGGATTCCATGGTGTAACATAGACGAGAGTTGGTTGAGAAAATTGTCTTGCTGTTTCATTTAAACATTTTTCACAATAATATTGGTGGTTGTTAACAATTGTTTGACCATCCACTTGTTCTTGAATTAGATTACGGTGAATCACATCAGTTGTAGGTTTTGAAATAGGCTTTGAAGGTGCAACTGACTGTTTACGACTTTTAGAAGAAGTTTGGGATGAAGATTCGGTGACTGTTGTTGTTGATTGTGATTGTTTCTTCAGTTTTCGATCGCCGGGTCCCAAAGTACATTCAACAAGAATAAAAAGAGAAAATAAAAAGATAACCACATTTTGACAAACTGACAAATAATGCATAACAATGATCTAGAATACAACAGAAAATTAATATCGATAGAATGTGTATCTTCTTTTTTACTTTTTAATTATCAAAATGTAATTCAAACATCACGCAGTATAAAAAGAAGTATATTTCAGTTCATTTTTTAAATTTGTGTATAAACAAACGTATTATCTAACACACTGTATTTTTTTGGGATAATAAACGATATCGTTTATTTTCTTAAAAAAAGAATTGATAAAAAAATAACTATTTTATCTATCATTGATCATGATGCATTAGATGATACACATACTTTTATTTCTCTCTTAATAATTTGACTAAAATATTTTTCTTCTACGTTTCTTTTGCTTTCATTCAGCTGTTAGTCAGAACTAACTTTAGACATCTTTCGCATCTTCCATCAAACGTTTCGATATCAACGGTACAATTCTACTTGACATAACTGGTACTTTATAAAATATCTTATTAAATCATTCGAACAATTTTCAATTTTTGATTCATTAATTAGTTATTTTCTTTAATCTCGAATTATTATCCTTTTCAAATTCATAGACTGGTGACCATGTCTTGGATAATTCAAAAGAGATGCCGACTTGCGGTTGTTGCCAATCAATAGTCAAGATTTGAGTGCATATTTTCATGAAAAGTTAAGCTTAAAAGTGTTTTTTCCAAGTTGAGTGTTTGGAAAAAGAGATCATACCTCAAAAAGTTTTCTATGAACTCCCAAGTTGGTGTCTGGTGACTTGGAGTAACCTGGAAGTCTCATGAAATATACGTAATCGATCACAGTGGATCTAGTTGCAAGACTTACTCTCAAATGATAGTTCAAAAATCTGATGAAAACTGAAATTTACGAAACTACAGTTTCCAAACGGTGTCCAGATAGTTTTAAAAACTCATATCTAACTCAAAATACATTAAAATGATCTTAAAACTTCAGCATATAGTTAATCTTCTAAGCTCAACGTAATTACACGATCTATAATTTAAAATCTATTATCCGAAACGCTTATCTTTTCATAAAAATATGCGCTCAAATCTTGACCATTGATTGGCAACCGCCGCAAGTCGGCATCTGTTTTCGATCAAAAATTATCCTAGACATAATCATTGATCTGTGTGAATAATATAATAGTGTCTCTTCTTTTTCTATTCTTTTCTTTGTAATGGGTGGGACAAAATAAATGAGGCAAAATCGTTCTCTTTTTTTTAGGCACCTAAGTGCACTCCGAAGACTCCGTTCTAGGCTCAACTGATAGAAAATTTTTCGCTCTACAAAATTCATTATCTTCTCTCATTACATGTTATTTCATTATTTAAAAAAATAGTGCAACGTAAGGTCAAGTACGAAGCACAGCTGCAACGGAAGGACCAGATTGTAATATTTTTTGCACTTGATATATCCTAATTGGTTCTTTAATAATGTTTCTGTTCGCTATTCATCATAGGCACTTTACATGAAGAATGCGTCTTCATTTAATTAATTCACATTGAAAAATAAAATTTTT